GGTGCTGAGGAGAAGAGCACTCTCCACGAAGTTTGCACAAAAACATTTAAGGACCAAAAAAATCAAAACAAAACAACCCCACCCTGAAAAAAAACAGGCCTTTCTACCCCCCACCCTCCCCCCTCACACATACACACACCCCCAAAAGCCAAGAAGGATTCCTGAAGTGGAAAATGACTTTATGCTGGTCAGAAATGCACCTCACTGAACCTTTTCCCCCACCCACCCCTGACAAACTACTGAAGCTTCTATTAAAATGTGCTGTGCTTTGGAGATGTCAGGAAGCATCCAATCAGATTGCACGGCCTAAGGTGAGGGATGAGCCTATAGTTCAAGGCTGTCAGTCATTCCAACATTTCTCCCCCCCACCCCGCAACTTTTATTCCTAGTGCTTGTTACGGAGAGCAATAGGCAAACCTTGAAAGAGAGTTTTCTAGCGTATTCCCTTTGTTTTCTTCCTTTTTTTTTTTGACTCTCCATGGGATGTAGACTTTATGGCTCATCTGCCATGACATGATCAAGCAAGTTCTTGGAAGGTAAGGCGGGAATGGGGAATCTTTTGAATTTCATTGGTATGCCTTCTAGGTCTCCCTATGTATTCCTCTGTCAGTTGGATGGCAAGTGCAAAATGTGAATTTGCAGCCATTTAAGATGCACTTTTTGATGTTAAGGAGGTAATGTATGAATTAAAGTGTATTTCCTGCCTTACATCAAGGGCTCAGCTCATGCTAAGATATATTTTTCTAGCAGCTGTTGCTGCTGCTGCTGCTGGTGCTGATTATGACATTTATAGGCTGAGATGCAACAAGCTGGAGTCAAGAGAGATTAATTTATCCACACAGAAATAAACTATTTTCTGAATAATCTGTTTCCCATGAAATGTCAAGATGCATGCTCTTTGGGTCCTTTGACTGTAATAAACTTTTCATTCATTCATTCATTCATTCATTCATTCATTCATTCATTCATTCATTCATTCATTCCCATCTTTAATGGAGGGAGTGGGATGATAGTTCTAAGCATAGACTACTGACTATAGTATGTTTTTGGAAAGACGAATTTCATCAAATGTGATGTCAAAAGCTTCTCCTCTCTGTCCCAACTCTTGTGTTACTTGCATACCATAATATTGTTAAGTGGGGCCAGGAAAAAGAAGAGAGCAATTTTTAACTATATGCGTATTTTGGCCAATGCAGGATTAAAATTTCAGTTATGTATATAGGCCAAATACAGGAGAAGTCATTCATGAATTCAAAAGATTTTACATGTTCTGTTATTTTGATCCTTTGCAAGAATAATGCCAAAAACAACAAGGAGAATTATCATCACACCACCTTGCTGGATATAGGAAGCGAATATAGCAGAGAGAAAACTAAAAAGCTTATCAAATCACAACTAGCTGATTATATTTTGAATATTTTAATCACATGATGAATGAGTAGAAAAAGACAACATTCCACCCAGCCATATTCTGCACATGTAGATTATCCTCCCTCAGACATCTCCTTCCTTCTGCATAATCTGTAGAATGGCAACTGAATCATAATATTTGAAACCAAAGAAATCGATCTCATGGCCATTAGTATCAGTAAATGGAATGCAATTAATGAGGCAATACTGTGGCTTCTGAGAAATAGTATAGTATGTAACGCCTATGAGTGACATTGACTATCTGGAGTCCTGGTCCTGGTCCTGTCAGCTTCAGTGGATGGCATGAATGTCTTCTCTGTCACTGTATCTCAGTTATGGAACTTGTTCCCTGAAGAAGCCCACCTGGCCCCGTATCTGTGTGCTTGCTTTCAGGTGCATAGCCTAAGCCTGGCTGTATAAAAGGATAGGGGATGCTTTGAATGGGATTGTTCTTTCATGGTGTTATTGAAGGACTTTTAGCCAATTCATTTATTTGAAGGGAGGCATGCAGTTAACTGATTTTGCATTCTTTCTTTTTCATTTCTGCTTTTCCTACATTTGTTTTTAATTGCTTTGGGAATCAAGTGTAAATGGGGCAGAAATAGTTTAAATGAATAATTAAAGACATCCAGTTGAAAAGCACACAGTTAATACTTCAGGTATAAGACAGTGAAGGTTCATAACCTGCAAAATAGCCTTGGGAGGAGGGGTTCTGTTCTCAACCAAAACTTTGGTAACTCTTCTTCATCATCAGTTATTTTTATGTTTGGATAAGATACAACTGCTTTTCCTGCAATTTCTGGCTCAGCATACTTTCCTGAGAGCCAGTATGGTACAAAGATTAAAGTGTTGGACCAGCATCAAGGAGATCCAGGTCCAAGTTCTCCATCAGACACAGAAGCTCCCTGGAGGACTTTGGATCAGTCACTCTTTCTCAGCCCAACATACCTCATAGGGTTGTTGTGG